GAAACCGAGCGGGGGGGATGCCGTTAACCAACTAATCAACTTTGAACGGCCTTATACATAATAAGCATCGTGCACGTTTGGATAATGATCGGGTGAAGAAACTTGTGAATGTTTACCAAAATTTGAGAATGCTGAAAGGTATTAACGAAGACACTTGGTTTGACGATGACAATGAACATGAAAATTAAAAATATAGATATATATTAATATATTTATATATAAAATATAAATATATAATTTTAATTACTTGCATAAAATTATATATATAGAAAATATATGTATTCTTTAATTTGCATAAAATTATATATATAGAAAATAGATATATTCTTTAATCACTTGCATTCAAGATCGGCGGCATTTGAATTAAATATATGTATATTACGTAATAAAAATCAATGATTTAAATAATTTGAAAATCACTTTTAAATCAAAAAAAATCGATTTAAATCATGATTTCTGCCATCCCTACCGACAAGCTTATTTTACAGACAATTAATTTATTGACAGTATATTTCATCGATTGCTTATTTTACAGATAAAATTTTTTTATAGGCTGCACTGACCTTAGCTCTAATTTTAAACCTAACCCTAATGACATGTAACTAATTACTTCGTCTGTGAAATGAGCTATCAGTGAAATATACTGTTTACAAAATGAACTTGTCAGCAAAATAATTATCTGTATAATAAACTTGTTGGTAAAATGGGTTTGGTGAAATGTGGTGTCTTCGAAGTAATTTTCGGTGAGTTGATCAGATCCAAATGGACTTGTCAAATAACTGATTGTTAATAAAATGAGTGTGTTCAGCATAATCAAGCAAAAACTTAGTCAAACGCTTGTAATTAAGTTTATTTTTTTGTACATACTGTATATCGTATAAGCATGAAATAACTCACAGAGACATTATTTTGAACAATGGCCTGAATTAGGCCAAAATTCAAAATTACACCCTGGATATTATTTCATGCTTATACGGTATAAATTTTATTTAATTAGCTTGTGACTAAATGGAGGTTAATATATATAATATAATTATATAAGTGAATTAAAAAATGTGTGATAGTGATACAATTATATAATGTGATTATATAGAGGTAATTTTATTATTATAAGTTTTTGTTCTATTAAATTTGTGACTATATGGAGAGTGACTGTATGGAGGGCAGACTGTAGTTACATAATATTGAGCTTAATATCGAGGCCCAACATCCCTCAGTTGTCTCTATGGATGCCCAAAAGTAGTCTGCTGCACTAGGTAGAGATTTATATTCTTCGCCTAGAAGGCTTTTACCAAGTTGTCTCAGAAGCCTTGTAGACCTCAAAGAGGTCTTGATTTAGTTTCATTGAGTCAAGTTTATCTGAATACTCTTCTGTTATACTATTATCTAATTCTAATCTATCTAATCCTACTTCTATTTGGCTATCTAAAATATCTTTCTTTCGTAAAAATACTATATTATCTATTTCTAAGTTAATATTCTTCTTTTTCTTTTTCTATTTTACTCTATCTTTTCCCGCAAGTAACTTGATTCTTAATTCTTCAATGCTTCTCTTTTCTTCCCTTTATCTTCTTCATTAATTACTAATAATTCTCTACTCTGTAATAGAGTTTTTTTCTTTACTTTTTTCTTTCTGCTCTTCTAGTTTGTTCTAGTCTTCTTACTTCTTTTCGCTTGGATTAGGAGTTCTCTTGAACTCACTAGAATTTTCTCTAGAAGTTTCTTCTGTGATATCTTCAAATTGTCTTCTGTTTAGTTAGCTTCTTTCTCTTTACTATCTATAATTCTTTTCTCTAATATATCTTGAAGTCGAAGGTAGCTTCTTGTTAATTCTTTATAGAGATACTTGAGGTTTTTTTCTTCTTTCTCTTCTTTGAAATTCTTCTTGTTTTGCTCTTTTTTCTCTAAAATCTGTTATTCACTTCTTGTATTGGTATAATTCCTTCAGATATTCTTCTAAATAATCATTAGATAAAGCTTCTTTCTTATCTATAGAATTCTTCACTTCATTCTCATTATAAAGTTTTTTCTTTTTTTCTTTAAAGATCATCACTTTAATATTTCTCTTCTTGTCTTGGGTTGATTCTACAATATATATATATAATTCTTTGATTTGTTGAAAAGAATCTTCTATTCTTTCAACACTCTCCTCAACGATCACTTGTACCAAACTTACGGCAAACAAAAACAGAAACTTGTTGGAGAAAAGTAGAAGAGACAACTACAAATAATGGTTTTTACAGAGGTCAAGGTTTTCTTTT